TTTTAATTTAATAAATAAAATTTAAAAAATTTTACAATATTATTGATTTTCTAATTTTTAAATTTAACCATTAAATCTTAAACCATCTGAAGTTGGCTCAGTTCAATTTTTGGTTAAAAAAACCCTAAAACTTATTCGAATGCAAAACTTTCGATTTATAATTTCGATCCGTTCCAATTATTTTCAGCTGCAAAGTTCGCTGCACTCTCCTAAAAGCAGGACAATAATTGCTGGCTAATAAACGGTGGATTCCATGAGACAGACAAATCTCTGCGGCAAAATAAAATGGTACGTACGGAAATTTTGTTACTCGACAGACTCCAAGGCAAAATTTTATGTTTAATGGGACGTGGTCAATTATTGCAGTGAGACCCGTTGCCCAGATGCTTCTTTATATTTTTCATATTTGTTTTCCTGAAATAGAAAATTGTTTTTCAGTACCGATTGTAAAAAAAAATTACAGTTCGCACTCCAAAAACGAAGTCGGTCTTTTTATTAATCTGAAAAAAGCCCTCATTCCTAAACTCAAATGTGCTCGTCGCCATTCTTTCTCAAACTACACGACCTCGAACTCACCGGAGGCAATTCCGAGTCCGGTGACTTCCTTCTCACTCTAGACCCCTGAACTCCTCCATAGTATCCAAAATCCTGTGCCACAAAAACCAACGCTTAGCTCTCACGAAATGCTAGAACTAGATTGAGCGCGACCCTTTATTGAAATTCAAATGTAAAGGGAGCTAAGATCGAAGACCTGTGAAGAGGGAAAATTCATGAACTGAAGCCATTTCGCGTTGAACGTGGCGTCCAGGAAGTCATCGGAGTATTGCCAATGGTGGTGCGCCGTGGCACTAGATCTCGCCATCTGTCTTCCGACAACGTTCATTCTCTGCCCCAAAATCACTCTCAATCCTTCCAAAGCAAACTATCTCTCCGGCTGTACATAGTTGCTTCCAAAGCTCAGAACTCTTATCAAGCCAGAAAACAGAGTGTATAAGAACAGTGAGAATTGAACTGATGAGAAGCTTTTGGAAAGACGCAGTAATGGAGTTGGTTGGATATTTTAAGAGGGATGAGGGGTTTTTTCCGAATTAAAAAAGAACGACGTCGTTTTGAAGGGCGGATTGTAAATTTTTTTTACCGTTCGTACTGAAAAGCAATTTTCTGTTCCTGAAATATTAATAATTAAAAGTTAGCAGCAATGTAGAACGGATATTTTTTTTAAATGTGCCTAAAAATTTATTTTTTTAATTAATATTTTTAAGAACTTAATTATTAAATTAAAATTTTTTTTGTAAAAATTATTTATATTAATTCTTATATTAATGTAAAACTTATAATCATTTGGTTATAAAAACTCTATATTTTTACAGGTAACGAAAATTTTTGAAGCTACTCCAAAGTATATTGGAGTCCGCACCATGTCAAGAAGCCTTTAGCCAAGTTTGATAGTGCGGTGGGAAGTGGGGCCAATTGGGAGGCAATTGCTTTACAAAAAAATTTTAAAAGCTACACAACACTAACAAGTAAAAATTATCAGCTACAGGAATTATTACATTTTTTTAATTTTTATTTTTAATTAATATTTTTTATTATTTTATACTATTTATTTAAGGATATTAAACTATATTTTTTTTAAAATAATTAAATATATCTAATTAATTTAAAATTTGACATGTGTAATATAAGTGGTATATTGACATAGAAAATTAGTTATTAATATTAAAATTTGCAAAAGTTATGCTATTGTGAACTAATCATAATCCAGAGAAATTTTAAACTTTTGCCACAAATCTAAAAGTCTAGTTTATCCCTAATTGAATCCAGTAGTAAGCGAGTGGGCCCCGTAAACCAAGTTCTAAGACTTAAGTCTTTTGGTTAGTACCTGAGAAAATTAATTTTTTTTAATGTACTAGATTAATAAGAAAGTACACTCTTAAGATCATCAAATGAGGAATTTGTTTTAAAATGTATAAAAATTAATTAGTCCAAAAACACCTTGTACAAAAAAGAATAAACTCACGGAGCAGGTGCAATGTGCATTTTTTTTGGGACGGTAAGCATGCTCTTGAGTCAATTTTTATTATCTTAAGATTTTTTTTAGTAATTTTAAAACCACACCTCTTGCATCATTTAATGCATTTAAAAAGATTAATTTTTTAAAAAACTAATACTAAATTTTAAAATTTAAATTTTATTTATAAAATAATATTTATTTATTAATAAATCAAAGTTGGCTAATAAATCATTATTCCAAATTAAAATATCGACCACTCACTGCACTTAGTGAGAGCGAATGAAACAGATGGACCTCTGAACTCTCGCTAGCAACAACTCGCCTTCAAAGTTGCCCCACGCTTGATCCACCGACGGTTCAATTCTATCTATCCCTTGCTTTCTCTTCTTCAGTTGACTTCGATTGAGTATTCTTCAGTGGCAAAGAGCAAATCAGCCCCTGTACTCTAGGTTTGGTAGAAAATCAGCCCCTCAACTAAAAATGGTGGCTTATGAACCCTCAAACTCCTCGAATGGTGAAAAATCAGCCCTTGGTAACGGCTGATGTCAGCAATTTGGTTAATATTAACGGAGCACGCGTTGCGAATGATTCCTTACCTCGACGCCATGTAGTCCCTTGCAGTCTGACATGGCCTTCCATGTCATCAAACCATGATTATAGGTAATAAATCTCATTATAATTTCAATTAATT